GCGGACAGAGAGAGAGAGAGAGAGAGAGAGAGAGAGAGAGGGGGGTGGGGGGAGGTGGGAATTGTCTTTTTTAACTCTATACGCGCCAGGCGACGCCGAATATAATAGCTTCCAGTCCCCGACAGTCTGTGGTATACATGTACAATGTACAACAAGATGACCATTGTGTGTGTGTACCGAAGTGAAAGTAGTGTCCGCATCATATTGAGCGTGTCAAGACACGGAGCCTGTACGTGTTGGTCCACTAGGCCCAAAGTTAACACATCTGTCACGAGCGAGAGAGCTAAGAACAGGATACCGGTGGGCCTACATGCTATCATCTATGTAGGCCGCTGAGTGACTTGAAAACGTCACGATCCACAAATTAGATAATAATATATTATAATATAGACTATGTCTTGATCCATGGTAAATGTGTCTGGCTGAGCCGCTAAAGGGGATCATTTAGCAATAAATAAGCTTAGTAATGACGATAGTTCTTATAATATATTATATAATATACCTCAAGGTCGAACAAGTGTGGTGTATCTCACAGTAGCATAATAGGTCGTAGCCGTGAGCAACGTGGAGAGAAAAATAACAAGCGGGTGGTTGGAGGGTGCCTCTAGTAGGTCCTACTTCTTTTCTTTCCCTCTGTTGTTTCTGTTTACGCTGTCTTGCTTCTTCTGTGTACTATATTATTATGACCATTATTGTGTGCTTCTCTTTATTCAAACTCAAGAAAATGGCACCGACGTGACTTAGTTTACCATCTAACAGATCTGGTCGTCTGTGAGGCTCTGAAATGAGAATGTACACCCCCCCCCTCAACACAAACACACACACACACTCTCTCTCTCTCTCTCTCTCTCTCTCTCTCTCTCACACACACACACACACACACACACACACACACACACACACACACACACACACACACTAGAAGTACTAACAAACATTCATATGAACCAGAAACAAAACAAAATAACAAACGAACACATCTTTTTAGAAATATATACAAATAAAACAAAGCCAAAAATATTGACAAAATACTCCATCTACAGAAAAACAAACAGAAAACAAAACAGAAATCGGGTGGAAAGTAAAAAGATTTTTGACACACTTCAGGAAACATCATGAACCACTCCTTCAATAGAAGCTACAATACTTAGGCTATAAATTGCTCTGTTTGTACAGAAAGTTAAAGAGTTCTAATACATCCATGGTACCTCTCTGACAGGCGTGCTCTCTGTATACATAGACACATTCACATGAATGTAGACACCACGAAAAACACACACACACACACACACA